TATTATTGATTTTATATAAAATTAGCCGTATGAAGGGCGGCGGTGTTAAATTGAGAAAGACCGTTGTTGGGCCATTGTATATTATACATTCATACCATCTCTGTGTTTATCCGTTGTCTCTAAATGTATCAACATGTGTTGTCTGAGGGGCCAGAAACCGCCACGTCCACGTCGTTGGCCCCGGGTAGCGCAGAGAGCGGGAAGGTAAGTGACATTCATTGTTCCATAACTTCCCTCCTAATTGTTTCCGACACCTAATATTTCAGGGATTATCTAATCTCGGGGAATACTACCATCCCTGTAAATTTGAACGAAATCGGAGGGGGGGGAGTGATACTATATATTTACCTANATTATGGAATGCGTAATTTTCGGAGTTTATGTTAAGAGACTTCTGTATAGTTGAGAAAATCTATGGCAATCTGTCTTTTGACAATTTCCCTCTCCAGAATAACTCATTCTCAAAATGATTGAATATTTACCGAGACGAAGAAAATACAAAATACTCCAATACTTGCCAACTCATCAGCACCGTCAGTGATAATTAAATACATATTTTTTCTAAATTATGCAATCATTTTCCTAAACTCACTGTGCTCCGGATATTTACTTTGTTTTTGTTATTGTGGAGGTTTGAGTTGCCGTTGCCGGCATAGCTACTTACAGATAGCAGGGGGAAGGGGGGAATGCAAATTTAGATTATTGCAATCGCTTGGTGGTTCGAAGGTGGTCAAAGGTAGTCCACTTTTAGCTTTTTGGTGGTAAAAATCAATTAATCATAAATAATCAAAAATTTCACCTACAGCCAGCGGGAGGGATGCATCTTTTTGAAAAATTCAACATATGAATTTATATGTAGAATCCTGTGGTGGTCAATTGGAAACGCTAAATATCAAAACTCCAGCTATGAATGGCGGATATTGGGCTGCACACAGTGTACAACCCAATTTTGGCTTGTGTTAGCGTGTATATGAGAAGCCTAAAATCGTCCATATTGGTGAAAACGAGCGCCGCCATCGGTAACTAGCGGTCCCAATGGTGGTCCAACACCAAATTCATCCGTTCATTTTTTCAACTGATAATAAATAATGTTTATCGGGTCTGTCTTACCGAGAGGTACTCCCCCCACCACTTCCCACTCCGGGCCCTTTAAATCATTTCCGAGCACGTTTGGAGGTTAGAAAATTGGTTTAATAAATAAGTATCTCAGACTTAAGTTCTTTTGTTATTCAATTTGTGTTTTTTTAATGAACGTGGAGTGAATACTACAAAAAAACATAATTGAACTTATAACGGAGCATTATTCGTCCGAGTATAATCGTAATCAATTGTGTGGAAGTGACACTGAGAAGATGACGATCGAAAAAAATGCAACGATAAATGACAAATCATTTTCCCCGCTCCTATGTTTTTTAGATCTACAGTAGTAGTACAATCACACTGTTCAAGACTGATTGAACCCATGTGACAGCTCCAGAATAAATTCATCAAGGAGTTGAACCACCTGACCAGTATAGCGGAGGTTGGGGTAAAATGGACACTTTTGACTTTTTTAAAAATGTTAATGACGGTTTGAAATGTTAATAAAATTTAATTTTTTTTTTTCATTGCAAAGAGCAATTCTTTCCCTTTGTGATGAGCCTAAACTGAACTGAATTGATAAATTAGTTTCTGAGTTATGAGTAATTAAAACAAAAGTCTAAAGTGTCCATTTTACCCCACTCTCCCCTACATATACGAGATAACGTGAATCCTGAAAGGAATTATTCATTTAGAGTCATCACTTTTTCATTCCGTTGATTCACGGGCACCAGAAGAAGAGGAAGCTCCAGCTGTATTATGCTAGTGGTAGTGACCATCTCGAGGCTGTTCCAGGGTAAAATGTGATTAGAAACTCATCTCGAGGAAGCAAGGGTTCAGGAAGAAATACCAGTCCCATTATTATTTTTTTTTTTTCAAAAGCTTAGTACATGACACAAAAGGTCTCTACAGCTGGATGAAAAACCATAAGTTTCAGGAATATATGAGGAAGATTTTTCAGGACGGTGAAACCGAGTGTGAAATAATACAGTGCAAACAATGCAGTATGCACAGCGTGAAAATCATTTTCTGCCGAATTTGTTCGACTTTCAAAGATCGGTGGGTCTGGTGAAACATCTCCAAAAATTGTTTCGATAGAGAATTAATTTTCTTCCGTGATCATCTCGTAATATTCCGGAATTCTCAATCGCTTCCATAGCTTTCGACCCCCATCAGCCGATCCTGGCTTCGTCCAGTTCAAAATCATTCATTGAACCTGCATCTCATTTCACCCAGTTTGCTTTATTTCTTTCCAATACCTCTGCGGTGAGAATATATGAACTTCAAGAAATATAAAATTTCAATTGATCTAGAAGCATATCCCTAGTATATTCCAATCCATGTCATTGAGGCACTCTTTCATTATTCTGAAAAACAATTTTTTTATAAAATAAACGTCCATATCGGAAGACGGTTTATCTGATTTTAGGCATCGGATAAGCAACGGCACTTTCTACTAATAAGATTCTGACACACAAAGATTGAATTCATCATTCGATTCGACATCATCATTTCTATTCTGAAGGCATGTATTGGTGATTATAACTCGGAGGAATTCTTTGGTATTTTCAGTCACACAATTCTATTCTTTGGATTTAGATCTTTTCATAATTTTTATAATATGATAGAAAGTGATGGTTTTTGATTTTTATGCCATTCAACCCTCTTTGCTCTCATTGCTCACGACTCACTAAAATGAATCACAAATCAATTTTGGATTAAATACGAAAATTCACAACGATGAGAGTCTGTTTGCAATCTAAGTAAAATAAATCAATTTCTACAGGTAACGAAACTCCTACAATATCACATAATTCTCATCGGAAAAATGATTCAAATAAGCAAAAAATACGCTAGGAAAACGAAAGGACAAATGCGAAAAAACGTGAACGAGAGTTTAAGCCAATTAAAAATCTGATGACTCAAAGGGAAAAATTTATTGGGCGCACAAGATCGCATCTCAAAACTTAAACTAGATAATACAAAGTCCCTTGCGAGACGTAACTCAAAAGACTCTAAAATTCGTCCGAGATGCCAAAGATCAGAAATCTTGCCCTTACAAAATCAAAATTAATTAGCGAAATCCTTCGATGTCCCTCGAAATCCACCAAAGGCCTCCGGCCAATAGGTCCAATGAGCGTGGAGGGATTTCATACAAACATGAATCAATACAATATAATCATTCTCAAAAATGACTTTCGTTGTAAGGTTTGATTTCAAGACTGGTGGCGGCTAAATTAACAATAGAAAAGTCACGTGACTGTTTCCATAAAACCATAAAATGATTTATAACGTGAATAACACGTTACAGTATCAATGAATAAAGCTCGCAGTCTTCTATATTCAGTAAAAAATATTACTTTGTATGGTCGACACTACTACAGAATAAAGTTAATAAACAAAGGTTACATTCAAAACGTTTTATTCAGTCAGTAAGAAGTTTTTTCTACATATCGTTATCAATCAATTAATAATAATCGACATTTTGCTCACTTACTTCAATTAAGTCATTCCAAATTTCAAAATTATTTTTCAATAATCTTTCTTCAATAGTATTCAATGATAAAAATTATACAACTCTGCGCCATTGCAAATGCAGCGTTAATTCAATAACGTTAGGGAAAAAAATTGTTGAAAAATGCTTAAAGCAATACTCTGTTCAATAAAGAACTGAAAAATTTTAATGTCTCATTTCTCGTCACTTTTCATATCTCAAAAATCTATCTTTACAAGTAATTTCTTATTATCATTAGTATTACATCCGCCTCGACAATATTGTGGTGGCTTTGGCAGCATTAATCGATTATTTTCCATCTTTTTTAAATTCATTAGTCATTATTTCATTCATTAATTCGTTTGACTCATTTCATTTTTACACTGTAAATCAGTTGTATCTATCGTCAAAAGCGTTCTTTTACTCTGTTAAGGATATCCAAGCACTTTGACAATATTTTCCTCAGCGAAATGCTTATCTACTTTTATTGTCGAACATCCGAGCTTTTTACAATTTTATTATTTATAAACTTTGCAGATCTGAATGTTCGAATTTTGGCATTAAACCGTTAGAAAACATTTTAAAAATCTGAAAAAAATTAGAAAGTTTACTTTCGAAGGAAGTTTAATGAAACAATTAAAAAGTTGCAATTTTTGAAAATCATTAGCATTGTCTATAAATAATTGATAAACAATTTTCCACCACAAAAATTATTTATTCGGAATGGTAACAAATTTATTCAGAATTATACAAGAAATCGATTTTATGCTTAACAAAATTAAGTTTCCGAAAGTTTAAGGAATTGAAATTATTTATTTATCAACACCAAATGTTGAAAAAAATAATAATTCTGTGCAAAATATAATTTTAATGAATATTCATGATTTTTTTCAAATTTTTCTCACGCAATTTAATTGACAAATTTGTTGATTAAAAATGAATCTATAGTGTGATCTGTACCAAACTGTAAAAGACAATTGGATATCCTTAAAAGAATCATTAACTCCTTAAAATCATCTGAATGAGCCATAGTGGAATTAAGTGTACAATAAAAAGTCAAATTGCAGAAGCGGATTTTGTGAAAATCTCAGAAATTAGTGAGTGTAGAGAGAATTGTTAGGCCTTGTTGAGAGAAATTTTTGTGAGCAATAAAATATGTACTTCGAAATTCCTTCACCAGCTCACCTCCGAGATATTTGTAAAATAATCTGCAAATTTGTGTTGATTTTTTCTTCTGCAATCACTTTCCTACTGATTCAAATGATTTATTCATATTAGATTATTTCGTATTTTTCTGTGGATGTGAATGGCAGTAAAATAGTTTCTCAGAGTTCACTTGGCACGATAATAACTTTCTGTTTGATAATAACAGTCTTAAGCGAAGATAATATTTGGATTTTTAATTAATAAAGACAAACAACGAGGATAAAAACAATTTTCATTTGCATTTTTATTTCATTTTTGTTTCTGTCTTCAAGTTGGTGCTTATGAGCTAGTATTCAATCAATATTGTTACCATTTCATTTTGTTTATTATTTCGTTTAATACCAGTTTCAACTGCCGATATGTTTGGAACATTATTCCTTAATTAATTCTCTTTCACTTATTTTGGATATTTCCAGGCCTCTGCGATTCAATACTCATCCAACTCGTTACCACATTTTTAGTTGACTTTATGTTACCATTTTTCTCATACTTTTCTCTATTGAAAAAAATACAATTCTATTGACCACTCGGTGCGGTTTACCTATAACATTTTAATTTTACTTTTATTCATTTTGTTTACTTCTTCAATTGCATTAAACCCTGTCATGGGAGAGTAAATAACTTGGACTCGTGTATTGACATTTTTTGTTTATCAAGATCTTTCTTGCTCTTCACTTGTTTTTATTTATAAAATTGTCTGAAACTGCCGATTTCGTAAAAAAAGAGTCATCAGCATTTAAAACCGCTCTTTTGACTGATTTTCGATTTTTATTTGTATTATCATTTTTTTCACTTTTCCTCGCTACTCTTTCAATTATTATTTTTTTTATCACATTGGAATCGTCTTCATAGATTAATAGAAGTGGAATGGCGGGTGGCATTTGGATGGCTCAATATTCGATGAACACTTTGTAAAAAATATAATTATCTGTTAGTAATTGAGCCATTTTTTTTCTTTCATCTTCGGAAACAAACGTTGCTTTCGTTCTGCAGGTTTTTTCATCTTGCTTTTTATGTATTATTTGATTACAAGAGTTTTTGTTTGTTTCTCAATGTCACACGTCAATACACCCAGAGGAAACTAAAAAAACTTTGAAACCCATGTAGAATTACACATAGAATAAACTTGAAATTTTGACCTTTCACTTTGTTTTGTTTAATTTTGAATTTTGACACGTCCCCGTTATCTTTTACGTTTTTGCCTTCATTATACTTTTAATGATAAATACGTAACAAATTAACTCGTAATGTTAAACACAGCGATAATAGGTGCAAAACTTGAAATAGTAAAAAAGAAAATTTGAAACTTAAAAATCGATGATAAACATAACGGAAGCCTTGACCAACGACACCGAAAATGTAGCCTCAACATGTTTGTGTATTTTGTTGATTTTACCAGAAGAGAAATTTGCAAACGTAAAAGTACGAATAATCGTAAAACTATTAACTACATTATTATTTTTTTCTTATTTCTATAGCCTAGAACAGCGATAAAATCCTAAGACATGTGTTTTTAACTGTATAATTTTGTTTAGTCCTTCAAGTGATTATCCAAACATTTTTGTTTCCATGTCTGTAATTGAATGAACAAATTGTGGGCGTTTCAGTTTCTGAAAATATTCGTTTTCTTCAGAACAGTCTGAAGATATGATTCCCACAGATTTGTTTAATGATGGGAAACAATGATTATTTTCATCTGTTGTGGGTTTGGATTATTTTTAATAAAAAAATTATAATGTACGTTCTCTGCTTCTCTGTTGTTTGTGTGTTTTCATTTCTTGAATTCGATCCATTTTTTTACCCCTAATTATTTTCATCTGTTATGGGTTTGGATTATTTTTAATAAAAAAATTATAATGTACGTTCTCTGCTTCTCTGTTGTTTGTGTGTTTTCATTTCTTGAATTCGATCCATTTTTTTACCCCTAATTATTTTCATCTGTTATGGGTTTGGATTATTTTTAATAAAAAAATTATAATGTACGTTCTCTGCTTCTCTGTTGTTTGTGTGTTTTCATTTCTTGAATTCGATCCATTTTTTTACCCCTAAATTTATTCCGTTAATTACTATAATTTAGTAGTTTCAAGAGTATTTACCAGAAGTCTTGCATACGAGTTTTATCAAAGTTTTTTTAAATAATTTTGCTTTTTTTGGTTTACCTTTAAACGATTAACGACGAGTGTCCTTGCGAAAAAAAAACAATTTAATAGTGTCGTTTCTTCTTAAAACCTGTAGAAACAATACAAAAAAAAATAATCAATTCTTTTTTCCAATTATGCTTCCATAGGAGGTAGAGAGGCAAAATGAGACAAATTTAATTCAGAGATTATTCTTCAAATCGCTCTTGAAGAATAATCATATTTGAAAAATAATTCACATGAAATATTAAAAAGCAAAAAGGAGTGTAACAAGAAAACCCACTTGTCTTCCCTTTGCCCTTGGCGGCTTTGGGTTTTTTCATGGAAACTGATGATGATCCTCCAAAGTTCGTTATTTCGTCACCAAGCTGTCCAAGCGTGGAAATTTGACGACTACGGTGTTTTTCCTGTTTCGTCACCGGCAAACGTGTCATATAGTTCTCCTCAAACTCAATTTTTCGTTTATTTTCACGTCCTAAACTAATCTGTTTTTCACCACCCTGGGTGTCTTCGATTGGTGCATCCAAATACTCTTCCTTCAGCTCGCGAAGTACAGCGCCTGATACTAAACGTCTTCGTGCACGCTCACCAGCCTTACGTAATTTTTCCATCATTGTTTCATCTCCATCTAAAAATAATCCAGCAAAATGTAGAATTATTTTTTAATGAAACTAGGCAAGACGCGCGCTTCGCGCGCGCTAGTTAAGCTGCATGGTTCTGATACTGAATTAGATACTAAAGAACTGATGCAAAAATTTGTATCTGTTCTTCATTCTCGAATTCTTGAGTCAAATTCTTGATTGCATCGACTGATCGAAGTCACTTGACAACTGCACCAATAAGTGACTACATCAAAATTGCAATGATCCCAGCGAATGGAACCAATGTACTATCTATACACAGAAAAACATTCTTGATTCAAATTGAATATTAAGCCCCTAATCGAACCGATTCAGATTCAAATAAATCAAGAACCATACCAAACAGATTTCATTAATTTGGATTGAGTATATCCAAACAAGTCATAGTGATTTTTTTTTCAATAGAAATATCAATTTTCGCCTAAAACTTTTATAAGTCTGCGAAAAATGGCTGAAATAAAGTGGTTAATCTCTCGACTTGGAGTTTATTCAATGAGCTTCATGTCGGATATTTCTACGAGTTATTCTACGAGAAAGACACCAGCTCGGGACAAAACACTGAAATAACAACTTTCCAATTTGTGACTTACAAAATCTGACACATACACCATATAGCATAAAACCCGCATCGTCACAATTGGAAGAACGAAAAATGCCCTCTAAGGATGACCTATTGATTTCTCCGCTGATTCGACTCAAAGCGCTAGAAAATCCATCGCAATTTGAATTTTCGAATAATCCATTGAGGAATAAATGTTTGCCAAAAATTCTCATGAGTCTGCGAAAAATGAGCTTCACACCTGATATGCGATTTCTACTGATAATCAAGTCAGAAAATAATAATTCAGGACAAAACGATGAGAAAATGTGAAATTTTCAATTTGTGACATGCCAAATTCGAAACAATTACCTATAACAATGGATCAAGTGGACGGAATGAAGAAAAATTATACGTAATTTTGAAGACGTCATTGAGAACTTTAAGTTGGTGTATAATAAATCTACATTGGCCAAGTACAAAGGTCCAAAAATGAATGAAAAGATCGAATTTTGGGGTGTGACATAAGCTTCGAAACAGCAACAATCTCCAATAAATTCCTGAAAATTCAATCAAATCGTATTCTATACATCACAATTTGAAGAGCCAATTATACCCTTCAAGATGATACATTAACTTTCCTGCTGATTCAATTCAAAGAAATAGAAAAATCCAGCCAAAGTTAAATTTTCAAGTTGGACGCGAAAAAACAATTTTCTTGCAATAAAAGAAAAAAAAATGAAGAAAAATAACAATTTTCTGCCTATAAGTTCCATACTGAGAATGAGAAATGACCAGAATCCAATAATTCTCATATCAATTTGAGTATAAAATATATATGGTTTATCAAAAAGGGAGGACGGAATTAGCATGCAAACCCAAAAAAGGACCAGCGTCACGATTACGAATTGCCCTATTGGGGATCAGAAATATTATGCATCATTTTGAAGAAAAATAAATACCCTTCAAAATGGTATATGATGAGTTTTATTCGTTTCAGAAAATCCAATCCAAACTGACTTTAGGATAAAATCATGGAAATTTATTTTCTGAATAGGATCTTTTATAAATGAATGGAAATTGCAGATAAATGAATGAATCAGACTGAAGTAATTCAATGTATTTGCCGCTTAGTATGGAATATCTCCATAGATTTGGACAGAAACCGAGAAAGTCTCGTCATTGAGAGGAAGAAATTGGCACTTTTCAATACGTGACATGCTAAAATCGTTACATCATCGTTTATAACAATTCATCTTGTGAATCGAATGGATAATATAAAGTATCTATATGAAGATCTCGATGAGACCTTCAAGTTGACATGTGACATATCCTCTTTAGTCAAATCTGAACCCTAGATAAACGGTAAAAATTGTAATTTTTTACGTGTGACATAACGTAAAGAATGGAAACAATCTGCAATAATGGATATGAATTCCATTGGATCAGGATTGTTATGCATCATTTCGAAGAACGATAAATATTCTTTGGGATGGTATATGAATTGTTTAACTGGCTCGACCGATAGTTGCAGAAAAAACCGATCCAGGCTGAATTTACAGTAACATCGTAAAATTTCATTTTTTGGATAGAACCTTTCATAAGTTACTGAAAATTAAAGATAATTGAATAAATCAGGAGTCAATTCGTAGGCGATTTCATATATTTTCACCTAGGTATGGCATATATCCACATATTCTAATAGAAACCAAGAAAATATTGCTATTTAGGAGGAAAAACACGGAATTGTCAAAATGTGACATGCTAAAATCGCTACATTATCGCTTATAACAATTGATTTAAGTGATGGAGAAGATAATGCAGAGTATCAATTTGAAGATCTCGATGAGACCTTCCAATTGGTCAAGTCTAAGGCCTCGATAAATGGTAAAAACTGTCATTTTTAAGGTATGACATAACGTGAAGAATGGAAATAATCTGCAATAACTCAATGAAAGTTGGAGTAAATGACATTTATCATACACCATTTTAAAGAATATAAAATGCCCTTCAAAACTATGTATGGATATTCCCATCCAGTCGACATAGAAGTACCAAAATCCCCAACGGAAGTGAATTTTTAAAGTAAACCATAAAAATTCCATTGTCGTATAAAAACTCTAAAAAGTCGATGACAAATGGAGATAATTGGATAAATCAAGGATCAATTCCAAGATAATTTGATATATTTTGAGCTAAGAATGAGATATCTTCACAGATTTCAACACAAACCAAACAAATCATGCTATTTAAGAGGAAAAACACGGAATTTTCAGAGTGACATGCTAAAATCGCTACATTATCGCTTATAACAATTGATTTAGGTCATGGGGCAGATAATATAGGATATCAATTTGAAGATCTCGATGAGAGCTTCAAATTGACATATGATAAATCCCCGTTGGTCAAGTCTAAGGCTTCGACAAATAGTAAAAACTGTCATTTTTGAGGTGTGATATAACCGAAAAAATGGAAATAATCTGCAATAACACAATGAAAATTGGAGTAAATGATACTTATCATACATCATTTTGAAGAACATAAAATGTGCTTCAAATTAGTGGATGAATATTCCCGTCTAGTCTACTTGGAAGTACCGAAAACGGCAACCAAACTCAATGTTTAGGGTCAACCATAACAACTCAATTTTTTTGCCTAAAAACTCTCATAAGTGCATGAAAAATGAAGATAATTAAATTAGTAAATTAGAAGTCAATTCCTGGGTAATTCAATATATTTTCACATAAGTATAAAATATCTTCACAGATTCCAACTCAAATCGAGTGAATTGGCCATTCAACGGAAAAACATGGAGATTTTTAAAACGTGACATGCTAAAATCGTTACATTATCGCTTACAGCAATTAACCTAGGTGATGGGGTAGATAATATAGTATATGAATTTGAAGATCTCGATGAGACCTTTAAAGTGACATATGATAAATCCCCGTTGTTCAAGTCTAAGGCCTCGATAAATAGTAAAAACTGTCCTTTTTGAGGTGTGACATAACGGAAAAAATGGAAACAATCTACAATAACTCGATGAAAATTGGAGCAAATTACATTTATCATACAGCATTTTGAAGGGCATAAAGTTCCCTTCAAAATGATGTATGAATATTCCCGTCTAGTCTACTTAGAAGTACCAAAAAATCCATCCAAAATTAATTTTTCAAGTAAACCATAAAAATTCATTTTTTGCCTAAAACTCTTGTAAGTCAATGAAAGATGGTCGAATTTAGATGAATCAGGTGTCAATTTGAAGGTTATTTAATAAACTTTCGAATGAGCATATCATGTGTATGCTATGTCGAAGAAGAAGCCGAGAATTGACGCAAAAACCAAGGGGTAACCCTCGGTTACGGACACGGATTTTTCTATAGGGGAATAGAACTTCAAATCGATCAAACTTTGGTTTTTATTTTTCCAAATCATTTTTTGTTAGGCCAAATAATAAATGAATCCTGAGAAAACTTGCATATTGCAGTGGTTCTTCGATGGACCTCGCGAAATCTTACCACATTTTGATGACATCAAAATGATTTTATATTGAATAGGTTGTAGCAAATGAAATTTTATTTCTGAATATTAATTCCTTACCATAATGAACAGCCGTAAGTTTAGGTGGTACATAAACCCCGGCCTTCCTGACTTTATTGCTCTTCCCTGCATCTGCCTCCCCGTCAGTCTCGTCCTCCTGATCACTTCCATCAATCTTCGCCACGAGTGCTTCTGGATTAGCCCTAAAGTTGCTGGGATCGGAACGGCTGGTGGTTCCTGTGACAGCAGTCTTCACCAACTTATCAATCTGATACTTAAGCTTATGATCAATCGGTCTGATTTTCTCCAACACCGTTCTAATCTCCACCAAACGATCAATGGATGGATCACCCTCAATTTTTTCACCCGAGCATTTTCTCAATACAACGTACGTAAGATTAATCAAATAAGAAAGCAACATGTGATACTTTATCTCAAGGAAACTCAAACCCTTGTCAGTTGACACTTCCCCATTTTTTACGCGTACTAACATATTATCAACAAGTTGATTAACACGTAGAACGTTTGCATTCATCTCACCCAGGAGACGAAGGGCCTGGGGCAGGTCCCGCTGCTCTATTTCGTCAATTGCCTGGACAATAAAAAATCAAAATTCAATGAAACTTAAATTTTTTGCACATTTCGCTCTAATTATTTATTTTTAATAATTATACGAAAAAGCATAAAATCATCATAATTGTTGAACTAGTTGACCGATTCTGCTCAACTTCATGTCAAAACAAAAACTCAACAATACAAATATATTTCAAAGACAGATTTTTGCGTCTTAATAGATTAATAATTGCAAGTTTGAAGATTCTCAGAATCCTGGGGCGCATTAGAATGACATAAAAGAAAAATTAAAAAGCTGCTGAAAATTGCAGCTAAGTATTCTCTCAATTTTTTTATTGAATCTGTAAATTCTTCCACTCAATAAGTGTTCACAAACTTTACCTTCATCGTTTAAAATCACAGTAAAAACATAAATCACTGAAACTACAGCAGACTCCTTTCACACCCTCAAAAAAACGTTAAAAAAAGTTAATGGAACCTTCAACTGTAAATGTTTCATGATTGCATCCCTAAAACTCTCTAAAACCCCAAAAAACTAAAAATAAACCCTAAAAACCTCAAAATAATCATTCAGAAGTGCTAAAACACACGCTGTCGTGAAAATTTAACCTATAAATTGTATGAAAATAATAGTCAAATTCATTGTCAAATCGCAGTAAAGTTTAACTCTCCAGAAAAAAATGTCTGCCGATTCTTTTCCACGGGGGAAAAAGCGCAATAATCAGCTGCCATCTTTCCTATTTACTAATGGATGGTAGGCGCCCCTTCCCTTCCCGAAAAAAAGCATATAGGAAGAAAGGGGGAAAAAAACAAAGACAAATGGCCAATATCTGACGATGGAAAAAAATTATATTTGATTATTTAATTGAAGTATTTGTCAGTTTGTTTGATTGTTGAGAGATAAAACTTACCGGTACCATTGTAGTAATATGAAATTTAACTCAACGAACACATATTTAAATAACGTAAGCTCGTAATTAAACAGTGCCCCCACGTGGGATGATATTTTCCGTGGAATGATGGTATTTTTTTTGTCTCTCTCGGAAAAGCCTAGTCAAATGAAGCACTTGTGGCTGCAGCAGCGTTGCCAACCTGAATGTAGGCGATTATAGCGCCAACGTAACTAAATATGGTATTTCAATTCAAATTATGGTATCCACGTTAAAAGTGCCTTTTTCGGAAAATTGAAATGAAACACAAAATCATATTTTTTCTGTTCTTTGAACACTCTATCAAACAGAAGAAATAACTAGGAGCGGTACTGTCGATGTCTGGAAGGGTATACTGGGTGGAGAAAAAACATAATCGAATACAAGCACATAGTAACATGTAAATATTTATAGCTTCTGGATTATTCTTGGCTCGAATTCATCTCATTCACCACGTCAACAATGAAAAAGTGGAGGATGTCTATCTGGATGAAGTTGAAGAACCAATAGTTGGGTCTGATCATGATGATGAGGAAGAAAATCTTGATGTCAGTCTGGATGAATAACGCCTAGATGCTAGGGGGAAAGAGAGATTGATGACGAGATTGACCAATAGCTCATCCAAATACAAAATGATTCGGGATTCCGTGATCAGTTGCCAGATGAGAGATTCCCGGATGATCCATTGGCAGATTATAGAATTTAAAAAAACAAGCATTTTTTGTGATCTCCTCCCCGAAACAAGAAATTATGGTAAAATTAGGGATACCAAAGAGGATTGACTAAAGTAGAGGCTCAGATCTCGGGGTTGGACTGACCCCAAGCCAAAAGTAGTTCGACCCCAACGGAGAGATGCCGCCACGGTCGAATCTGACGGCTGGGCAAACTGCCTGTGCGGGTAACTCAGCAGTACCAGTCCCGCTACTCCCGCTGTTACAGGGATAGTTTTGGAGTGGAATTTGTGTCCTCCTCGTCCTCAGCATGTTCTTAATGTTTTTCAGGTGATTCATTTGCTGGCTAATTAATATTAAGGAATGAAACACAGAGGGTGTGATGGAGAATTGAATTCCCCATCAATCGATCCCCGTTGCATCCCTTAATCTCTGTAACAAAAAAATACAAACTACGACAAAGTCATGGGCCAGTGAGAAAAATAATTTTGTTCTCGGCGCACAGTGACTTTTCACCATTCGCTCGCGAATTAAAAATTCACTTCTCCCCTCCTAATTGAGATTAAGGGATGAAAAAAGAGTAGTTCGATGGAGAATTGAATTCCCCACCAACTGACCCTCTTTCATTCCTTAATCTCTGTGAAAAATGGAAGAAACTGTCATGGAAATAACAGCGCAGTAAGAAAAATAATTGTTTTGCGGCGCACAGTGACTCCCGGTAATTAAAAATTTACTTCTCCCC